TAAAATCATGTTTTTGAATAAATTCCTATTAGCTTGATTTTTTTTTTAGATTATTCTATTTTAATGAAACAGAAATGATTAAAGGAAGAAGGACATTTCCATTCCATCCATCTTTATGGTTCAAAATAGTCAACTTCTAAAACTTGAGGAAAATCCAGATTTTCTAAATAGGAGCAAGCTATTAACTACTACCTAAGTGAATCTTGTAGCTATTTAAGGTGATGGATGGTGTTTCAAAGATACCAGTCTTTGAAACAAAACCATTTCTTGCAGGGAGTGGCCTGTATAACCTTTTTCCGAGAAGGCTTGGAATCTTATACCATTGCCTAGAGTTAATGTAGCTGAGTTGAGATTGCTTTTTAAAGATAAATTTTGAACAGATAATAGATGAAAAGAGTATAATGTTAAAAAGACACGAAAATGAAAGTAAATTGTCTCCCCAACTTCATGCCCCAGTCACCAGTTTCCCCTCCCTGAAGGCAATCAGTTTTACCAGTTTCACGTGATCGTTCTAGAAGTATTTTATTCATGTACAAACACGGAAATCTTTTCTTCCTTTAGGCAGATGGTAGAATGATTGCTTTAAAATGCAATGTCAGAGTGACACAATTACAGAAACCCCTTTACTTGGGAACAGGTTTAAGTTCTTCCTACCTTCTCAGTCACCCCCAACAAGTACAAAGTGCCCTCTTTGGACAGCCGTCACCCTCCCATCTGTGGTAGACGTGGAGCTGGCAAGCTCTTGCTCTGGGTGACCTCTTCATTTGTATTTAATGGAAGCTGGTAAGTTAAAATTTAAAAAATAAAAGCGTTTCTGTGTCTTCAGCATTTAAATAGAGGCAGCTAAATCTTCTAGTAACTCTATAAACGAAAGTGTCCAGAAGATTATTGAAAGGGGCCAAAATATATTTCTGTGATTCATGACTGGCTTCAGCTATTCAGAAGGGACCTGAGAGAGAGAAGATGCCACTCGGCAATGCTTTCTTCCTTCCAGGAGCTGACCCAGACTGTAGGTCCTTCAAGGCTAATGTGGGAGGCCTCACCCTTCTCCTGGTTCACTGCCTCTAAGGCAACATTTTTTTTATTGAAGTATAATTGATTTACAATGTTGTAACAATCTCAGCTCTACAGCAAAGTGACTCAGTTATACACATATAGACATTCTTTTTTTATATTCTTTTCCATTATGGCTTATCCCAGGATATTGTTTTTGGTTTTGGTTTTGTCTTTTTTTGCGGTACGCGGGCCTCTCACTGTTGTGGCCTCTCCCGTCGCGGAGCACAGGCTCCGGACGCGCAGGCTCAGTGGCCATGGCTCACGGGCCCAGCCGCTCCACGGCACGTGGGATCTTCCCGGACCGGGGCACGAACCCGTGTCCCCTGCATCGGCAGGCAGATTCTCAACCACTGCGCCACCAGGGAAGCCCATATCCCAGGATACTGAATAGAGTTCCCTGTGCTATACAGTAGGACCTTGTTGTTTTTCCATTCTAAATGTAATAGTTTGCATCTACCAACCCCAAACTCCCAGTCTGTCCCTCTCCCTTCCCCCCTCCCTCTTGGCAACCACAAGTCTGTTCTCTATGAGTCTCTTTCTGTTTTGTAGATAGGTTCATTTGTGCCATATTTTAGATTCCACATGTAAGTGATATCATATGGTATTTGTCTTTCTCTTTCTGACTTAGTATGATAAGCTCTAGTTGCATCCATGTTGCTGCAAATGGCATTATTTCGTTCTTTTTTATGGCTGAGTAGTATTCCATTGTATATATGTACCACATCTTCTTTATCCATTCACCTGTCCATGGACATTTAGGTTGTTTCCATGTTTTGGCTATTGGTGAACAGTGCTGCTATGAACATAGGGGTGCATGTATCTTTTTGAATTATAGTTTTGTCTGGGTATATTCCCAGTAAGGCAACATGTTTTTATAAGCAGTTGCTTTGGAGAAAATGCTCTTCTTTTTTTATAATCCAAAGGAATAGTTATATGTATTCCCCCTCCATAATTTGAGGCCTGATTAGCTGCCACATCAGGCTGTGGAGAAGCCGTTGTCAGGTAGAATGCTCCTTAGTCCATATCCTTCATCTTTCCTGCCTGTGAGCAGGGCTGGCCCTGTGGCCAGTGGCTCCTCCCTTATCTGATGCTCCATCATCACGCCCACGTTTGCTTTCACCTGTTCTTGTATCTGTTTCTCAGCAGTAGCTTTCTGGTCTCCTCTTACAGTTAGAGTTTAAAATTGTAGCTAAAATAGAAGCATGAATACCAACTTCTCTTTTCCACCCTTTTGAGTAGTCTTCCCAGTTACCTCTTCTCATAACTAAAATGTTCAGGGACATTAATCAAAATTCTGCTCTCTCTTCTCTCTCTTCCTCAGAGGGGATGTTGCTCAGTTACACCATTTTTTAAAATCTTGAGTGACCTTCTAAAACACTAAATGATATGTGAAGATGAAACCTCCCACTCAGCATGAAACATTCCTCTATTTTAGGGGCAGAAGTCTCCACTGGTGTCCTCCTGAACAGTCGAGGTGCAAGCAACTAGTTCTGTCTGGTACTGGGTTTTTCGCTCTGACGACCAGGACCTGCCTATGCATTTGGTTTTGTAACTGGTGATTTGTGTAAGTCCCCTTGGCTTTGCACTGAATCTTAAAAGCATTGTGAAGCTGTCAGCTCTGCGGTTTTTGGTGATCATGTCCACAAAATCTGCTGTGCACAATGAGAATGAGTTTATCTTATAGTTTCAGGGATTCTCATTTATCACAGGGGTTGGAGATTTTTGTTTTAGCAAGAAGTAAAGTAACAGTGAGAATGGGTCAGCTAGCAAAGCTGGTCTGTAGCAACATCTACAGATAAAAATAAGCAGACGCTTATTGGGGTCTGTTTGTTTCCTAGTCTTTTACCTCGCTGACTATTAAAACATTAGAAAAGAGGAGGTGGCATCCTAACTTGAGAGGGAAGATGTCTTGTAAAAATGCACTTCTCTTTATTGAAAAATAAGCTGCTCACTGACTGACCATTGGCTGGGTCTGTGAGGCACTGCTGCAGGCAGATTCACACACTGCTGGTTCCCGGCATGTAGAACGTGATACTAATGAGCTCATGCCTGCAGAATTCAGTCCTCCCGCCTGTCACCGAGCTTGTTCTGCTTTGACAGGCCTTGTACGTGTTACTTAGCTTCATTCTTGCAGAATGCATGCTATTGGTCTTGAAGGAAAGCAAGTGGGACAGTGGTTTACTCAGATCTATAGTTACTACATTTCCATAATCACCAAAAACCTGTGTTAGTGCTCACTCGAGTCGCTTATGTAGGGTTCCAGGGAATTCATAGTAAAGCTAGCATTGCTGCCAAAGTCGTCTTGCTGGTCCTCAAGCCAGCATGCTCATTCCTGCTTCCCTGTTTTTGCCACCACTCACTCCTAACTCTCTCCAACCCCATTTTTCTCAGCTGAAGGCCTGAGTTCTGTTTGTTCCATGAGACCTTTCTGACTCCACTGTGCCCTCACGTGGAATATTTTCCACGATCTCCACATTTCCACCTGGCACTCTGCCTCTTCAGTGCTTCTCTTCTGGACTTTGTCATCTTAACACCTGCTAGACCAGAAACCTGTCTCTGATTCCCTTGCACTGTCTAGCATAGTGCTGGGCATGGCAAAAATCTTTCACTTCATGATGCCACCTTCGTTGTGAATCACTGCTTCGTGATTAATGTACGTAATGGAAAGACTCGATATTTTACCCATGATAGACCTTTTTTAATGAGATTTAGTATTTTTTCATTGATGAGAAATATTATATTTTTATATGTAATATTCCTATATAAATTCCTAAAGTAGGATTTTTCTTTAATCATTGTATCTTTTCCTTAAAATAAGCAAACCAAATACTCTGTAGGAGACCACTTGGTGCTGTCAGGAAAGTCAGTGCAAGATTAATTTCCTTGGGGAATCACATCGAGTGGTCCCACTTTAATAATCCAGGTGACTCAGTTGAGAGGGTAACTCCACTCCTATCGGCTAGGACTCTCCTCTGCAGCCTGCCCATCAGCGTCATTGCCTATATTAAATGACAGCTTGGGGAAAAGACATCTCACAGGGAAGCTTCAGTGACTCAGATGCTCTGTATACAGAGAAATTTCAGTGACTCTGGGTTTTATCTTTGACACTTGTTGGCTTCATGGTAATTGTAGTTACTGTCCAAAGACAATAATTGACATTTGTATTGCTTTTTATCAAGTTCAAATTATATAGTATATAAATATATATACATACACACGCACTTATAGTTATATCCAATATATATACATACACCCGTCCATACCTGTGGAGATGTAGATATATATTTACTGGTGGTTCCAGAATATGATCCCTACTAGTGGCTACATTTAAGTCAGGTCCCCAGACCCTCTCACCACAGAATCTCCTACAGCAATCTTTTATACTCTGTCTGCTCTTTTTTTATTTCCATTGACAGCTGCATTCTGTCTATATTGTAGAGGGTAGGAGTGAAGGCTTTGGAATGGGGCAAAGCCCCATTGGATGGGGTTTGAGTCCTGACTCTGTCGTTTCTTACTTGTTTGACCTTCGGCAAACCTCAGTGCTTCAGCTGTTCTATGGGGACAAGAATTTCTGCCTCCCGAGTTAAATATGAGGGGTCAGTAACAATGGGGGCAGAGACGCAGCCCTGTGGTCCATCAGCAGCTCCTCACTGAATGGTAGCTAGTCTTATTCTTATCTCTACACTAATATTTTGGCGTGTTGTTTTTGTGCACTGTTTTTCTAATTTATTTGGGGTGTTCTTAGACATTTTCAGAGAAGCCTATAAAATCAAACAGGAATTGGTATAATCTGTTGCCTCTGACTGGAAAAGAAGGGATCGCTCAAAGAGTCCTGAGTGGGATTTTCGGAGAGGTGGAGAGGTGGATAGGTGGATTTCCTCAGGTGATGCCTAAGGGACTTGTTTCAGTGTTTAAATGACTGTTTTTCTCCAATCAATTTACAGCGGAGATAAAAATCTGTTTCAAATACTACCACGGCATTAGTGGAGCCCTGCGAGCCACGACCCCCTGCATCACGGTGAAGAACCCCGCTGTGATGGTGAGTGCCCCTCAGGCTGCTTCCTTGAGCCTCAGTCCCAGAGGCCTTGGTTTCTATTTTTGCCTGTGCAGCTCTGGCAGGGTTATGGGAAACAATGCAAAGGAAACACATAGCAGTGTGGGCGCCGTTTTGGGAAAGGAAATAACTTACAGGATGGCTTCACTAAATCCATAATGTAAACCAGTGGGAAAATATGGCTTGATTTATAATAATTCTGTATATAGTCAACTCTCCAGGGAACCTATTCCTGAAGGAAATTGGTGAGTGCCCGTCCATCATGGAAGGTCTTTTTTTAAACTTTGTCAGGGTGGCCAGTTGGTAGGAAATGGTGGCGTTTTGCATCTTCTGTGAATTTAATTTACATGAACTCAGAGAGAAAAAAAAAATTTAAGTAGTGGGTGATTCTCCCTGCCAGTCAGTTTAACAGACTTTTACCCCAAAGAGAGTGTGAGATGGGGATTACGAGTGCGCCGTTCCTGCAGGAGAGAGTGTGGGATCCCTCCTGATGCTGAATTGAACTATAGTGCTTAAAGGTACCACACATATGTTTGGTATCACGTGGCCACTCAACAGAAGCCAACCTTTTCACCAGGTCCTCAATTAAAGAAAGAGATATCTAACTTAGCTCCGGAGGAAACTGATTGTGCTGGACTTTTGAAGGAACGTATGTCCATTTCCAACATGGTACTTTCTTAAGAATTACTTTTCACAATTTCATGATTTTTCACTTCATCAACTAACTTTAGAATCTAACAGCTTCACAGGGTGCACTCCATTGTACATGGGTGGTTGAACTCCAGATGGTTCTTGGAGTCCAAGATATATAAATCATGGCAGTGTTTATAAGTCATTAATAACAGGTCGTGAAAGTATAGAAGAAAATTATTGACTCTCGTAATATAGAATCTTCATAATATTGTGTGTGTGTGTGTACACATTTATAGATGCATGCATTTTTGGAAATAAGCAAGTGAACAGGTTGACTCCCTGAAATTCAGAATGTAATCGCTGCAGATGGCATTTTGAAATTGTCTGGCCCACCAATACGATATCAAGCAGTCTTTTCCTTTCATTTATTCATTCAAACAAATATTCATTGGGCGCCTAGTAAGTGCCAGACATTATACCCACCACTAGGAATGAAATGATAAGCAAAAACACAGCCCTTGCCCTCACTGGTCTGGTGGGGGAGAGAGACTCAATTAAACTGAATTGTATTTATTTGAGTGATAATTACTATGAGGGGCAGTGAAATGGGGCTATGAGAGCATATACTAGCAGGATTCATCCTGATCAGGAAGGTCTTGGAAAGCTTCCCTGAAGAAGGCATGTTTTCAGGACAATCTGAAGGATGAGTAGAAGTTACTTAGGTGAAGAGGGGGAGGGAAGAGCATTTTAGGTAAAGGGAACGAACGGTATGTGCAAAATTTTCAATATCTAAGTACTCTGTTCACATTTGAATTATATTTGAGTTCCTATTATAGTGAACAAAGTATAGAATATTTTTTAAAAACCCACATTTACTATATAAGACTTTGAAGGTTCACAAGGAGAATAACAGTTGTTGATTACAAAGTCTGCCGTGTCACAGTAAGCACTAGAACACACTAATTAATATTCTAAAAAGAAAAATTGTAAAACTAGAAAAGTGGGGCTGTTGATAATAAAATGTTTGAAAAATTAACTATGTGTGAAATTAGATAATAGCTTCCAAACATGACTTTCTGGAGTCAGATTTTCTTGGATTTGAGCAGTTTCCATGATCAGATATCACTGATGGCCGGGAGCTTACAGCCTGGTGAGCATTGATCTTTTTCCATTTGATTTTGCATTGAGATTATTCTGTCAAAGCCTGTGGATAGTTGGAGATAATTAATTTTCTTCAGACAGGTTTTAGAGCACCTTAAAAGCTTCATAGATACAGCACTGGCAATCATAATAGAATATTTTGGTTCAAAGGCTGACTAATGGAATTGGTGGTCAATAGATTTCTGACCAAGCTTGAGACAGTTGGGTCTATATCTGCTATTGAGAGGCTGTGCCAATGGGCATTTCACTGTGGGCTGATCACTGTGTTTCTATGACAGCATGATGTTCACCTAGGAATATGACCTGTGTGTAGATATTGTACTGACTGACAACATCGATATTCACAAAGCTCATTTAGTTAGGATCATTCCATGATGCAAAGAATAGTTGGGCAGTAGCAACCACATTTTAATGCTTGATGACACTGGGTTGGTTGGCTCTCACCAAGTACATCTGTTTTATTATATTGTTCTGTACCCCTCTGACTCATCATCCCTAGGTTAAATAGAGCAGAGACAGCACCCAACTGGCCAGATAGTATCGCTGTGTCTGCCTCATCCTGCTTTCACCATATACACACACCCCTGGACTATAAAGTGGCAAATAGAGAGGGAGTACAGACTGCATCTGGGACAGACACTCAGCAACAGCTGCCCTTCCTGTGCCAGGCATCTCACAAACCGTGGCCTCCCCTCAAATGGACCACACTGCCCGGGGAGATGTGCCCCCTCGGAAAACATGATGTCTCTTCATGCCAAGTGAGAACAGGGAGACTTTGCAAAGATTCATAGTCTGTCATCATTCAAAGCCTACTTAAAATGTTGTAAGAAATTATAGAAACTAAAGAAAATGCCCTCGAATTCTCCTTTTAAAAATGTAATTCACTGTCTGGCAAAAGGCTAATATGAAACAATTCTCACAGAATTCACAGATAAACAGTGTCCTTTACAACAACGTGGTAATAAAATGCTCATGTGAACTAATATTCAGAGAATTCAGCTTTATCATTCATGACAATAAAGCCAGGAAAGACCAACCTGATCACCAGAAATAGGAACATCAGTGATAATAAACATATCTGTACTCAGTGTTTAGAGAGAGGTTTTTAAATAAACTCCCTTCATAGATTTAAGCCAGGAAAACTCAGAAGGAATACTGTCAACCCGTGTTGAAACAATACATGGTAGTGAGTGATGGTCGCCTTTATCTGTCCCTGAAGCGAAGGATTTCCTGTTCCAAGTGGCACATATCACTGTGTACACTGATGAATGGCAATGACGTCAAAGTATGCATGACAGAGAAGACATAACTTTTTTTTATTCTTGATTCATTGCAAAAGGATATGTGAGAAAGGAGACCATACGATTAGGATGGCTGCTCTTCCCTTTCCTGTAGAGTTTCTCAGTTACTTCTTGCAGGACAATGTGCATCTGGATGGAACGAAGTAGAGATGCCTGGATGGTACCCTAGGCATATTGCAAATGATATGTGAAACAATCAGGAAGCAGTTACGTGTCACACAAAATAGTTTTGACTAAGGTACAAGAAGTAGAGAAGAAAATGGAAAATTTTTTTAATGTATATTTTATTTATTTAATTTTGGCTGCATTGGGTCTTTGTTGCTGCGCACGGGCTCTCTCTAGTTGCGGCGAGCAGAGGCCTCTCTTTGTTGTGGTGCGTGGGCTTCTCATTGCGGTGGCTTCTCTTGTTGTGGAGGACGGGCTCTAGGTGCACAGGCTTCAGAAGTAGTGGCACACAGGCTCAGTAGTTGTGGCTGACGGGCTCTGGATTGCAGGCTCAGCAGTTGTGGTGCATGAGCTTAGTTGATCCGTGGCATGTGGGATCTTCCTGGACCAGGGCTCGAACCCAACCCGTGTCCCCTGCATTGGCAGGCGGATTCTTAACCACTGCGCCACCAGGGAAGCCTGGAAATGGACATTTATATTTCAGAATTTGAATGGAATTTATTTTGAAGTTCCTCAACTTGGCTTGGATTAGTGAAAGTTTTATCTCTTGGTGTATGATTTTTAAGGGAGGTGGGGAGTGCCACAAAGATAAGATGGAAGGGTGTAATCTAAACTTTGGAATTAAAATGTGGTTTCTATTTCTTGACTATTCAAAATACATTCTGCCTTCAAATCTGCCTCTTACAATGTTCTGGACTTCTTTTTTAGAGGACCACGAAACCCTTTTTTCCTAGTGTACCATAAATTGTGCACTAATTGTACATAAGTTGAGAGACTTAATCTGCTATGGTCTGTAAATGACTCGTTTCAAGTAAGATATAATTTACTCAGAAGCTTTTAGAAAAAGCTTTACAATACAATAATCAGTACAGTAGGATTGCAGATTCTTGTTATTGCTAATTATAATAGCATGTGCCATGTACCAGTAGCACAATGAAATAGGAGTCTGCAAGGGTGGTGGGATATCCACATGGTCACTCAGAAATACTTAGCAAGGAGGATAATTCTACATTTATATGGATGAGTCTGATGTAAATCACCTGTTTAGTTTATTCTAGGTTTTCCTAATAAATCTGAAGGAATTTAATGTTTGATTTTTAACTTAAGGGAATGTTTTAATACCATAATAGCAATATAAATATGCTTATTACATGTCAACTATATTCTTTTTAAAAAATATTTATTTATTTTATTTTTGGCCGCGTTGGGTCTTCATTGCTGTGCGCGGGCAGTCTCTAGTTGCGGCGAGCCGGGGCTCTTCGTTGCGGTGCGCGGGCTTCTCATTATGGTGGATTCTCTTGTTGCAGAGCATGGGCTCTAGGCACGCGGGCTTAAGTAGTCGTGGCTCGCAGGCTTAAGTTGTGGTGCATGGGCTTAGTTGCTTCGCATCATGTGGGATCTTCCCGGACCGGGGCTCAAACCCATGTACCCTGCATTGGCAGGAGGATTCTTAACCACTGTGCCACCAGGGAAGCCCCAATCTTCTTACCAAAGAAATAAAAGGACATAAAGTAAGTTGATTCATACCCCAGGGAACTTGGAAGCTCATACTGGTTACATTTGGGGTAAAGATTAAATTTAGGTATGACCCTTCCTCTAGTCTCTGAGACTCTGCATTTATGTCTCACTTCCAAGATTTGTAGCATATGAAAAGGCATATACAATACATTGATACAAAAATCATATTTGCAAATATGTGTGCTTCCCTAAAAAAGTTGAGAGGTACCATATTCCTGTGGAACTTCACATATGTGTTTTTTCTCTGCAGATGGGGGCAGAAGGCATGGAAGGAGGTGCTTCAGGAAGTCAGCACTCTCGAAAACTCGTTAGCTTTACGTTGTCTGGTAAGGATGTCTTTAAACATGACGTCCAGTTGGAAAGTGTGTAATTTCAAAGGCACGAATAGTCACTTCTTTCTGCACTCTCATATATGATATGTGAGCAAGTTTGTTTGTTTTTTTTCTTTGGTAATACTTCTGGAAATTCAAGTATATCTCTTACCATGAAAAATTAGATTATTAATATAAACTCAGAAAGCTTCTAGCAAGTTGTCTTGTGATGAAAAGACCATAACTATGTATACTTACTTAAAGAAAACTGTAATGTAACATGTGCTAAACCCACTGTAGAGCTTAGATAACTGAAAACAATTTGTGCTGGCCTCATCTAGAGAAAGGAAAAATTTGGAGACTAGCGAAAAAAAGCCAAGGGATACTCCTGTTTCTGTGAAGGAGTACATATAAAGAATTGAAAAGTAGATAGGACAATTTTTTTGTTGTTTATTTTCTGGTTAGTAAAATATTCTGATTTTTTTGTATATTTATCGTACAACTGAAGCACTGCTTTTCAGGTTGTGAGTTGGAACTCATTGGTGATTTATAAGATTAATTTAGTTGAAACTAGCAATTAAAAAAAGAATAGAAAAGAGCCAGAGTTTAACCACCAAAGGGAAATGTTTTTCATAGAACACCAGTTTATACAAACTGAAAATTTCACACACAAAAATATACACACCTATGTATGTGTATAATGGGTTTCAAGATAAATGTATTTCACACATAGATCACTGTCAAAAAAAGTTTTGAAGCCACCGATTTAAAAAAATTAATCAGCAGTCATAAAGTCAAGAATAATCTAAGAAAATCAGTATTTGAAATGGACTTTTAAAACAGACGACCGTACTACAATACATGTAAAATCAAATCTAACAGATGTCTATCACTGTAAGATGTTTTGTTTTCATTTTTCCATTATTGTAGTGCTTCTAAAATTTAAATTAGATTCACTTTTTCTTGGCTGCAAAAAAATGTTATGAATGAAAATAGAAATTTTCAAGAGTAAGGGTTAGAAGGCTGATCTTGAAAACACAAGTCCATGATGCATGAATATCACGTATAATGGAAGTGTGCACGTTAGTTCATTGCTGGCCCACGGCCTATCTGTGTCTGTTCTAGCATGTTCCTTCTCCTCCCCTCCCCCCGCCATACAGGTCACTTACTATGAAAACCATTTTGCTTTGGTTCTCTGACAAATCTCAGAGGCTGTAAACTGGTTCAAATTTGGCCAATAAATATATTTTGGTTGGAACCCTCAGGGTTTTAAAAATATCCAGATTTTTAGAAAAGCACTTACTACCACTGCCTGTGATACTACTCCCCACCTGCCTTATCTGTCTCTCTTTTGAAAGCACTTCAGTTGGCTACCTGTGCTTTAGACCTTCACAGTTCTGGGGTGTTTGCAGGAAGAGAAATTGTTTATAGATTTCTTCGTTTATAGGTATGGAACAATTGGCCAACCTCCATGGCTCAGAAAACTTAGTTTGACCATACCACGGTTTTCTGAGTTTAGAAGCATTGCCCTAAGCTTTCAAATGATCAATATTACTCTAAATATGACACACACATATTGATTTTGACTCCAGAGGGGATGTTAATTAACCCACCATGGGAGAATGACCATGTAGAAGTTGAAAATCCCAGGATATTTTCCTAAAAAGTAGGAAATAAGCTTTGGGGCACAGCCAAATCCTTTTTTTTCCTATATACAGCTTTTTCTAACATCCACCTCAGTACACCTGGAGGCTTGCTACCTAAAATCTGCTCTGTTTCTTACCGTGTCATCAGCTATTTGCAGATGATGTATAGAAACGGCTAAAACTCATAGAAGATGAAAGCCATTTTATAACGGCAGTTCTAAAAAATTCATCTGGTTGTAGCATATTGACAGTGGATGATAATATTTATGGAGAGCATTTAAGCACTGTAGAATGTCTGTCTGCAAATGTTCTGCTCTTGATCATCTATGGATAAGTAGGGACACAAATAATTGAACTCTACAGCTAAAACAAAAAACTGGTTCTTTTTTGTTTGTTTGTTCTTTTGCGGTACGCGGGCCTCTCACTGTGTGGCCTCTCCCGTTGCGGAGCACAGGCTCCGGAGGCGCAGGCTCAGCGGCCATGGCTCACGGGCCCAGCTGCTCCGCGGCATGTGGGATCTTCCCGGACCGGGGCACTTACCCGTGTCCCCTGCATTGGCAGGCAGACTCTCAACCACTGCGCCACCAGGGAAGCCCCAAAAAACTGTTTTTTGATGACTATCTTAAACCTTTTCTCCAAGTAAGAAGGATATTTAACCTGTCATACCTTTGTGACTTTGAGTCCTTCTTTAGTCTATTAGGTGATGTGGATATTTATGAGCAATAAAATATATAAAAGATAAAAGAGAGGCAAGAGATGGATAAAGTGAACTGAATGATCAGAGTACAAATAGTTGGTAGTTTATTGTATTTATTGGTACGATGTCCCTTGTGGAAAAGGGTTAATGGTGACATCTTTCTTCGCTCTGGCTTAATCTTCTGGTGGATGCTTTTTCTTCAAAGGAATGTTTTGCATGAATAATTTAGCTCTGTCAGATGTCATGGCAGCCATTTCTGTACATGTTACTCCTTGTTAACTGCAAAGAAATCCCTTCTTGAGAAATAGATTTAATATCTAAAGAATGTCATTCTCTTGTCTGAGTCTGAGGCGAGCACAATCAAGAAAGGTAAGAAAATAAATATGTAAATTGCATTTTCTCTCAAAGCTATTTAATGCTAAATAAAGCCAAGTGAAAACATGTAGCATTATTAAATTGACAGTAAAATGCAAATGCTGTATTAATAATGACTCCATAGTTTAGGAAGTGCCAGGGATGGGGACTGTGAAGCTAATGAGATTACAGCAGCTTCTCTGAAGTGCTTGTCTAGTTCTTTGCTCATCTTTCCCTTCTGCCACTGGCTTTTAGATCAAAGATCTTACTATATTTGATGCCGTGTTCTTAACATAAGGTCCTCTTGCTTGAATTTTTAAATATTTTCTGACATATTAGACTGTCTCCCGCTACTGCCAGTTATGAGTCACTAGACAGTCCTGGTCTGTTTTTATCACATGTTATCTAGGCCACAAGTTCTTGTTGGTCATTGGTGAACCTCCTCCAGGGAGTATGGTTCTATGGGCAACCCCAGGCCAATTCTGTCCTTCTAAGAAAGACTTTGTGTTTCAGGAATGGGCTTGAGTAGGATGACCATGGTGACCTCCCAAAATGTGGGGTTACTCTATAGGGTCTCTTCCCCAGCTCATTTGGGTAATCCAGAGGTCTTTGAGGATTCAGAGACCATCCACAGAATTTTTTTCTGAACCAGTGGTCAGGACTTCCCTACACTGATCATAACTGCATAAAGTTACCTAGAGGCTGTCTCTTCTCCCGGAAGCTTTCAAGATCATTTAGCTCTCAGGGCAACCTTATTCAAACTGATATTCTCAGAAAGGCATTGAGGATCCAGTGAAGCCAGCTTTATTTCCTGACATTTTTGTATCCCTCAGCTTGACCATTTTTAAAAGTTTTAGTCTCTTCACTAACCAGACTTTAGCCAGAACTTTTAGCAGCTCGCATAGTATGAAATAACAAGTGGTGACTCTAAGAAGAGTTATGGGACATTCATCAAATATTTAATTTACTTAACAGCCTATTGAAAAAATAACCTAACAATTATTTAATATAGCAGATAGCGTTCAAAGTTTAGAAATATTTCTGGTCTCCTTTTATTTCCCCTAACATTCATTTCATTTGTAGAATACGTATGATGTTTTAAATATGGCACAACTGACTGTGTGCTCTTAGGTTTCATCCCCAATTAAACTTAAGTCAGTGCATCTCATATGTATATATAGAAGATTCACTTTTCTCTCATGAAGGAACATATTGGTTTTCTTTTTTAATACACTGTTTACTAAGGGTTTCTCTCAAGACATTGTGTGAAATGCTAGCTGCCAAGCCACATAGAAAAAGGGGGTGAAGATGTACATGTTAGGATCAAAACGTTTCCCAGGAAAAGTCATTTTAGGTGTATAAGGTGGTAGTAAAAGTTTGGCTTCATTTTGCAGCCTGTTAGGAGACTTTCTGCTGGAACTAGTCATAACCCACTTGTCCTCACTTACCTAAGCAATCATAGTGTGAATAACTTTGTTGTTTTACCAAATAGTTTCTGTTTAGAGCTTCCTGTGTGATTATTTAAGGACAAATTGTCGTTGAGCTGCTTGTTCTAATCAAGATATGTGAATCTTTTCTCCTTCTGTCCCTCTCCTCTCCCTCTCTCTTTCCCTCCCTCCTTCCTCCTCTCTTTCTTTCTTTAAAGATCTTCGGGCAGTTGGGCTAAAGAAAGGGATGTTCTTCAATCCTGACCCTTATCTTAAGATGTCGATTCAGCCAGGGAAGAAGAGCAGTTTCCCCACTTGTGCCCACCATGGGCAGGAGAGGAGGTCTACTATCATCAGTAACACCACAAATCCAATTTGGCACCGAGAGGTAAGATGATCGTACGTGGCCTTCTACTTGACAGTTAGGAAGTTGGCCAACTCCATCTCTCTCCACTGGACTCTGTATCATTGAGCTGCTTATGGGTGTGGGCAAGATGGTTGAGGTGTCTAGAGGTTCTGTTAGAAAAAGGTACAATGAAAGTGAGATATTCCCTTCTAACCAGGGCTGGGTCTAGGGTAAATCAAGTGAGGCACTTCCTTCAGGTGCATGATTTATAGGGTCCAAAAGACTCGATGATCAAAATTAATATTTCAATGCAATATTAAAAAAAAATCAAAATCAAGGCAAAAATTCATGATGAACAAAATGTCAAAATTCTGTAAGGGCAGCATCAGTAACTGCTTTGCCAAGCCGTATGGGAGCCTGAGGCAGAAGGAAATGTCAGTAATACTGATCCCATTTTTATTTAAAATTTTGATATTTTGTTCTAGCATATACCCAGTACAGATTAAAGGAATTTCTCTCCTTACTGTCTGGCAAATGGTTTTTGGATTTCCATTATAGATTTTGGTTACTTACATGAGCCATTCAAGGAGTCGTCATCCTGAGGCAAGGCAGATTGTGTTGATGGTATTTCAGACTCTCTCACAGTTACAATATGTTACCAGTCATCACAGTGCATCATATCAGTGAAATCAAGCCCAGGGTTTTCCCAGTGGAACTATTTAAAGTCAAAGAATGAACAGAGACATTGCTTCTTTTCTAGGGAGCAAAGTGTGAGTTCTCCCACCATTTCTCAGGGAACCAAGACACATTTCATATACTAGCATTAATGAGTGCTTCTAGACAAACCTGTATTGGCATGGGAGTTGCACAATTAATTAAATCACTCCCTAAATGTTTAATGACAATAATATGTTCTAACAATGTTGAACGAGTATTTCATTGGAGAGGGAGATATTTCAGGGGATCTAAAACCAATTGGAGAAAAGATGTGGCTATTTGAGACTTGCCAGTGCAGCATGATGTTTCTCCTGGGCAGTTTTTATGGTTATTTAAGTGGATAAAAACTACATGTTTTCTTATTCCTGGTTTGAAAAACTACTTACTGTCCCCAAATAGTGAATAACTTCTAAAGGCATACCACTTAATTTAACACACTAGAAGCCTAGAAGACATAAAACGTTATCTCAAGATGAGCACTTAGAAGGCACATAGTGGATATAGTAATAATACGAGCAATAACTTTATTTCCCTAGCATTCTTTTTTTAATTTAATTTAATTTTTTTATACAGCAGGTTCTTATTAGTCATCAGTTTTATACACATCAGTGTATACATGTCAATCTCAATCTCCCAATTCATCGCACCACCATCCCCACCCCCCGCAGCTTTTCCCCCTTGGTGTCCATACGTTTGTTCTCTACATCTGTGTCTCAACTTCTGCCCTGTAAACCGGTTCATCTGTACCATTTTTCTAGGTTCCACATACATGCGTTAATATACGATATTTGTTTTTCTCTTCTGACTTACTTCACTCTATATGACAGTCTCTAGATCCATCCACGCCTCAACAAATGACTCAATTTCGTTCCTTTTTATGGCTGAGTAATATTCCATTGTATATATGTACTACAACTTCTTTATCCATTCATCTGTCGATGGGCGTTTAGGTCGCTTCCATGACCTGGCTATTGTAAATAGCGCTGCAGTGAACATTGGGGTGCATGTGTCTTTTTGAATTATGGTTTTTTCTGGGTATATGCCCAGCAGTGGGATTGCTGGATCATATGGTAATTCTATTTTTAGTTTTTTAAGGAACCTCCATACTCTTCTCCATAGTGGCTGTATCAATTTACATTCCCACCAACAGTGCAAGAGGGTTCCCTTTTCTCCACACCCTCTCCAGCATTTGTTGTTTGTAGATTTTCTGATGATGCCCATTCTGACTGGTGTGAGGTGATACCTCATTGTAGTTTGGATTTGCATTTCTCTAATAATTAGTGATGTTGAGCAGCTTTTCATGTGCTTCTTGGCCATCTGTATGTCTTCTTTGGAGAAATGTCTATTTAGGTCTTCTGCCCATTTTTGGATTGGGTTGTTTGTTTCTTTAATATTGAGCTGCATGAGCTGTTTATATATTTTGGAGATTAATCCTTTGTCCACTGATTCATTTGCAAATATTTTCTCCCATTCTGAGGGTTGTCTTTTTGTCTTGTTTATGGTTTTCTTTGCTGTGCAAAAGCTTTTAAGTTTCATTAGGTCCCATTTGTTTATTTTTGTTTTTATTTCCGTTTCTCTAGGAGGTGGATCAAAAAAGATCTTGCTGTGATTTATATCAAAGAGTGTTCTTCCTATGTTTTCCTCTAAGAGTTTTAGAGTGTCCGGTCTTACATTTAGGTCTCAAGTCCATTTTGAGTTTATTTTTGTGTATGGTGTTAGGGAGTGTTCTAATTTCATTCTTTTACATGTAGCTGTCCAGTTCTCCCAGCACCACTTATTGAAGAGACTGTCTTTTCTCCATTGTATATCCTTGCCTCCTTTGTCATAGATTAGTTGACCATAGGTGCATGGGTTTATCTCTGGGCTTTCTGTCTTGTTCCATTGATCTTTGTTTCTGTTTTTGTGCCAGTACCATATTGTCTTGATTACTGTAGCTTTGTAGTATAGTCTGAAGTCAGGGAGTTTGATTCCTCCAGCTCCGTTTTTTTCCCTCAAGACTGCTTTGGCTATTCGGGGTCTTTTGTGTCTCCATACAAATTTTAAGATTTTTTGTTCTAGTTCTATAAAAAATGCCATTGGTAATTTGATAGGGATTGCATTGAATCTGTAGATTGCTTTTAACCATGTTTTTAACCATGTTACCAGTACAAGCCTGATAAGGGGGGTGTAAGGGATGAGATTATCATCTCTCCATTTGTGTGATTAAGAAACAGAAGCTTAAAATGTTTATGTAACTAGCTATTCAGAGGCTAGTAGTGCTTAAACTCTGCTCCCTTATTCTAAGCAAGTGCTTTTTCCATTAAGAAGATGACTAAACTTTACGGCCCTTTGGTGAAAATAAATTGTTATGACTAAATAAATTTAGTGACTCCTAAGTGTAAAGCTGGCTGGCACTATTCATATCACTGTGGTTGCCTGGATACTGCCAGGGGAGGAGAGAAATGGTTCAGGTTAGATTCCTGGCTCCATCACTTACTTTTCCTGAAAGCCTCATCATTAAAAAGAAAATTTTATCTTTGTAATATATGTGAAAGTCTTTGTAAATGAGTAAAGCTCTTTATTTTTATTTTATATCCTTATTAACATCCAATCCAGTTTTCTCCAATGGCATTCTTAAAACAACACATCTTATCTTAACCTCATACTTTTATTTTTCTGTCCCAGAAGAAATGTCCCTGTGTGCCTTTTAAATTAAGTAACTTCCGTTTAAGCATTGTTTTATTTTAATATAAACCAGGGAAACCATCATATCCTTTAGATGTTCCTACTTTAACCACTAAGTGAAGGAGTGTTTTAACCTATGATGTGCAACTTCGAAAATACCATGGGATCAGGAATTAAAATTGCTGTTAATCAAATGTATCGGTTAAGTCTAAGCTACTCTATAACAAGATATTAAGTATTAAAGAATAAAGGTACGTTAAATGTAGTGAGCACTAAAATTGTATTGTGCATGGTTTAATATATGATAACATCTCCTAAAACTGTTGAACCAGGAAGGGTTGGATGATCAAAGGGGCTTCCTTTGTCATACAGATCCTAGCTGTTGCTTTTTAGTCTTTGTGAATGTTAATGATTCTGAGTGAATAAAAGATTGACAATAGCTGCAGATTTTTCTGGCAGTGTGGACTCTGTGTGTCGTTAGGATTTAAGAGATACTATTTTCTATAATAATAAACTGATATACATAATTTCATATTTATCTCTTTTTTTGACTCAACATGTTATGTTTTGTTTTCAGAAATATTCCTTTTTCGCACTCCTTACTGATGTCTTAGAAATTGAAATTAAAGACAAATTTGCCAAGAGCCGACCTATCATCAAGCGTTTTCTGGGGAAACTAACCATTCCAGTCCAGAGGCTTTTGGAGCGACAAGCCATCGGGTAATCAGCCGTCACACCTAGGGGTCTTGTTGGGATTAGATCCTACTGAAGCAAGTGAAGTGATACTTTGAAGTCCGAGGACTTTTCTTACTGATAAGAAGTGGTAACATAATTCTTTTAAAAAGGAAAGTGCTCCATGCCGCGGAGCGGCTGGGCCCGTGAGCCATGGCCGCTGAGCCTGTGCTCCACAGCGGGAGAGGCCACAACAGTGAGAGGCCCTCGTACCGCAAAAAAAAAAAAGAAAGAAAGAAAGAAAGTGCTCATATACTCATTGAAATGTGAAGGGCAGAAAGCACTTTATTTTAATTATATACCTTTTTTGGGTTATCTATCTTTTCCACGATGTACCTACCATTATTACCATTTCAGTGTCAAATGTCACAGTGCTCAGTTGTTTTTGAGATATTGAAATCTTGCTATAAAAATCCCTCCCTAAAGCAAGATCTCCGTGTCAGGTTGACATCTCCTGATCTTGATTAACCCCATCCAGAGAATATGTTATTCCTGAGACACCAAAACCACCTTATTTTAGGGCCCTTTAAAACAAAGCCTAGGCTCCGAGAAGGTGTTATAGTGGAGCTCTAAGACATATACGTTCGTTCAGACAACTAGAAATTACTTGTTGAGAGAATTTTAAATTTATTTATTTATTTATTTTGGCTGTGTTGGGTCTTCGTTTCTGCACGAGGGCTTTCTCTAGCTGCGATAAGCGGGGGCCGCTCTTCATCGTGGTGCGCGGGCCTCTCACTATCGCGGCCTCCCTTGTTGCGAAGCACAGGCTCCAGACGCGCAGGCTCAGTAATTGTGGCTCACGGGCCCAGCCGCTCTGCGGCATGTGGGATCCCCCCAGACCAGGGCTCGAACCCGCGTCCCCTGCACTGCCAGGCAGACTCTCAACCACTGTGCCACCAGGGAAGCCCGTTGAGAGAATTTTGAAATGTGATTTGACGTCTGTTTTCTTTCTGTGAACTTTTTGTAAGCTGTGAATCAAGTAGTTAAGAAATCGTAACATGCCTCCATCCCTTACTATAAATGGTGTATATATTTTCACATGGTAAGTGCCAGCAAACCCAGTAACACTGGTGCTCTCAGGTGGCACTGAGGGGCATCTTTTTCATTTTAGGAGGACATTATGAACATATGATAACAGTAGTGGTAGTAGCAGGAGTATCAGTGATAACAGTAGTTATAGTAGTGGTAGCAGCAGTCGTAAACCAAAGTAAACAAAAAAGATGATGAGACCCTATTCTATGTCGGGAGCTAATAAGTAAAATACACTCATTAGCTCATGTAATCTTCTCAACAACTCTGAGAGGTGAATAATGTGATTATACCCATTCTGGAGATGAGAAATCTGAGGCTAGCAAGCCAGGGGTGGAGCTGGGATTTGAGCAGATCCGTCAGCTCCAGAATCCCAGCTTCTCTGCAACACTTTAAGGACTGGCGGTGATGGAATACTAGTCTAGCTAACTGAGGAAGGTTGCTCATTCCTATTCACCTTGCAGCTAATTAACTGTTCTATTCTGGCAAGTCACAGTTTTTTCAGGCATTAGTTTCCTCATCTGAAAAATAAAGTCTTTAGACCGATGATCTCTAAGACACCTTCAAAACCTGAAATTAAGAGATTCTAATGGATTCTAATTCTCTGGCCATCAGAGACAATGGTTGAGCCAGACCACATGAAGTAGAAATATTAGGCTGAAATTCTAGCAGCCTGGTTTAATTTGATAAAACTGGGAAATCACAGTTATTTTTAAGGATAGCAATTATTGCTTCTAGTAGAGATATTCTTTGGGAAGTTTTAAAAAATTATTTTTAGGATTGATAGAAAATGAAAAATTACGAAGAGTGAGAATTAACTCTCATTGGAAATATACTTATAATTTAGTTTATATAAGTATAATCATATAATTTATATAATATCTGTGACACTTGGCAGAGTGTCAGTTTATGTATACCAGTAAGAATGATCAAGGAAAAATAAAACCTTGAAACTTGAAATGCTTGAAAGCATTTTGAGTGCTTGAAACTCCTGTTAACTTGCTGGCTTTTCATTCAGTCTTTTAAAGAACTGGACACATAGAGCACTGCCTGTCATGGATTCCATGTGTACTGGAAGGAAGTCCAGCATGAATTCGTAAAGTATCAGAATTATGAAATGTTTCTACATGAGTATATTAAAAGCATTGCCTGATACTTAGGGATTTGCTTTATTAAATAAATATGATACTACATGTTAGTGTATTGGCTGTTAGCATCTAAATATATTTTTGATCTGATTATTACTTTCTATCAAGTAATTGATACGTCTTGAAAAATACTGAGTTTTCTTATGTGTTTTGTAGACGGCAACTCTCTGAAATAGCTGAGGTTTTACACGGTGAGGTTTTATAGGATGAGCTAGAAGTCCTTACTAATTACCTATTTTAAGAGCATTGGTTTGAATGTGACATTTTTCAGAGAGTGGCTTGCATTCTGTCCAAAAGGCACATCACTGTGCCATGCTTTGTCATTTGCTGTGATTACACTAGTGAGAGAATGTCTCAGTCAGACAGTGAGAGTTCTTTGGCACTTACTCTTCATAATGATGTATCATAATAATATATAATATAGGGTACACAATTATCTGTCATGGCAAGAGGCAGGATGAATCAGATGAGACTGAGTAAGAAAAAGAAAGAGGTGAATCCCTTGACAGGCACTCAACAAGGATGAAACCCCCTTGACTTGGAATCTCCAAATAGGGAGGCTTTCCTGTACTGATAGATTGAACAGTTGATATCTTGTCAGTTTGGGTAAAAAATAGCACTAACACCTGTTAAAATTCTTTTTTCCAAGTAAAGAGTCTCATTTGTTAAATTTATTCAACAAATGTGTGGGTGTGTATACATATAGTGTCTACTAAATGTTAAGCACTGTGTTGGGTATTTGGGATATGATAGCAAAAGGATGGATGCCATTCTTAGAATCCCTACTAAACATTTACTTCCTAGCTAAAATGCATCACTTTTATAAGTTTTTATCATCAACACCAACACTTTACTTTTATTGGCCAAAGAGGGGGAGAGGAGAGTCAATTTAATTTTAACAAAGAAATGAAGATTTTTATTATTCCAGGACTGAATGTCGAAAGATGTGGGTGAGGAACCATAATGTTGAGAGTAGGTCCCAGTAGTTTGCTGCTTGGGTTCATGCATTAGTGGACATAGGTGGAGTATCTCTGTGTGTCAGGCACTGTCTAAATGCTGGAAGACAATGGTAAGAGAAAAAGACATCCCTGCTGTCATTATAGTCATTATAGAGTTAGTCGAACACGCTAATGTAAAAGCATTTAACATACCTGTAATGTCTAATAGTTAAAAATGCCAATATATCCCTTTACAGAAAAAAAATTTTTTAAATACCAGATTAAGTAGACAAAACATTATGATAATGATTGCATTGAGACGAGCCATGAGTAAATATCATTAAAATGCATTGCTACTGAAAGCAGCCAAGAATCACTGAAAGTGTGCATAAAATGAGATCTGATCTGGGGACTGCAGATCAGAGGCTTCTGTGTCAGAAGCATCTGTGTTCTAATCCTGGTTCTGTCGCTTAATTGTTGCCTGGCCTTGGGCAAGTTACTTACCCTCCCTATGCCTTAGAAAACAGGGCCACCACTTGCCTCACAGGGAAGATTGAAGGAGATGATGCATGCAAAGCCCTTATCAGAGTGTAAGCACTCAATTGGGGGAAACAAAGCTTTCTAAAAACATCAATCAAAAAATTATTACAACATTTCTAGGGAAGAAAAAGAAAGAAGTAAAGGAAATGATCTCATTATTTTAAGAACATCTTGCTATGAACTCAAAGAAATTCATAAGAGCTGAACTGGGATTTAACACGAGCATGTAAATGTGTACACGCTAATGTAAAATCCCAGATAACATCTATTTATAATTGTACTGAGGAGGTAGAGAAGAACAAGCAAAATAGTTACGGAGATTAATAATCAGTAGCTGACCAGAGGCTCTGAAGTGTACAGTGGTGGTGCAAGTATTAGGTAGAGGCCTTGTGTTTTCCTCCTGAAGTTGCCATTAGAGGGCAGTGTGAGAGCAGAGATAGTGTGATTTGGTACTATCCCCCTGATTATTTTCCTTAATTAAGAATAAATCAGATTCTCAACGAAAGTTGCTTGCATACAGAGAAATGATGTGATTGTATTTGACTTTGATAAATAAACACGGAATTGAAAAAGATCAACCGCTTCATCCTCGAGGAGGCTGGTAGCCTGAGCCTGGAGCCAAGGTGGGGCAGGAGCTGGGCCCAGTTGTGGTCCCCTCCAGCGCACCTCCAAGTGTGGCAGCGAGACTCCGACAGCTAGTGCAGTTCTCCAACTGTCCCATCAGTATGGCTTACAAGCTGCCTGGAGTATCAGTGATAGGCCTCCCAATAGTGAGGGCCAACAGTGAGCCCCTTACTTTACAGGTGAGGAAGGGGAGGTGCAGCAGGCCCCTGCCTCTCACACAGCTGGAGCAGCTGTCAGAGCCCGGCCTGTTCTCACGCTGCTCTCTCCTGACTCCCAGCTCCTGTTCTTCAGGATACAGCAGGACTGTGCCCTCCATGTGATAACCCTTACCTGTGCGCCTCTCTCTCTCTTTTGTTTCTTTCTCTTTTGCTCGGCCGGCCGTGCAGCATGCAGGATGCGGGATCTTAGTTCCCCAACCAGGGACGGAACCTCTGCACCCTGCAGTGGAAGCACGGAGTCCTAACCACTGGACCACCAGGGAATTCCCTGTGCCTGTCTTTTTAGGACCTAACTCCTATCATGCTAAATGCTAAGGAACCAGACCTTCTATACATTTACACTTGAGTCAGAAAACACCCAAAATTTTAGGCCTTTCTCAGCCCCTTGATGGGGGTTGAAATCAAAATGCCCTTTCTCTGGTCACTCTTAACAGTGAGAGAGCAAATCAGTGCCCTTTAAAAAAATCATAACAATATTGTACGGTATTGCATTTTCAGCCTTTACTGATACTTTTCCTTGTGACAAGATTCCCTTTTATCCCTGGGTTTATAAGTATTCATTTGTACAAATGAACAAAATTACACTGACTCTTAACATGCCTTTGACCTTTTATTTTCTTGTGAGTATGCAAGTTTCAAGAAAAATATGTGGGGTTTGGGGGGTGGCCTATGGGAAGAAGGTGAAGGCTGACACCAGAGTAGTAAGGATGAAGGAACCATTTCTCCTCTTGCAGTGACCAGATGCTCAGCTACAACCTCGGCAGAAGGCTCCCAGCTGACCACGTGAGTGGGTACCTCCAGTTCAGAGTGGAGGTCACATCTTCTGTGCATGAAGGTGAGATACCTGTATAAATATATTGCCATAGGAAAAACTTGTTAAATCTTACTCTGTTGTCAGTTTACATTTGAACAGAATTGTTTGTATCCTGTTCTGAACATAAAATAGCTATCAAATGATTACCTGCTGAAGTTTTCCAAGCAGATTTAAAAGCCTGTTTATCAAAAAATCTCTCTTAGGTTTTACCTGCATTTGGAAACTGGGATGTGGAATTTACGGCAGTAGTGAACATGTAAACCTCATATGTCAAACTGACCAGCAATATATGTACTCGTTTAGTAGTGAATAGTAACTCTTAGCAAGTTGGTGATACTGTAAAGAGACCTCAGTGGGATGACTGAATTCTTTGAACTCATTAGTGGCAAAGGAATAGGACATTAAAAGTTCGTTCGTTATTACTACTTTGTTTGTATAAATGCTGTTTTCTCCTTCAGATGCTTCTCCAGAAGCTGTTGGCACGATACTTGGAGTCAATACTGTGAATGGAGACCTAGGAAGCCCTTCTGATGAGGAGGACATGCCAGGGGGCCATCATGACAGCACGGTTTGTTCCAATGGACCAGTTTCTGAGGAAAGTGCTAATGGGACCCCCAAGCATTCTTTCAGGACTAGCTCTACTCTGGAAATAGACTCAGAAGAATTAACCTCTACTTCTTCAAGGACCTCACCTCCCAGAGGACGTCAGGATTCACTCAATGATTATTTAGATGCTATTGAACACAATGGCCATTCCAGGTCGGGTGCAGCTACTTGTTCGGAAAGGTCCATGGGAGCCTCTCCGAAACTAAGGAGTAGTTTTCCCACCGACACAAGACTCAATGCAATGCTTCATATCGACTCAGATGAAGAAGACCACGAGTTCCAGCAAGACCTGGGTTATCCATCCTCCTTGGAGGAGGAAGGAGGGTTGATAATGTTTAGCAGCGCGTCAAGAACTGATGATGGGAGCCTGACATCTCAGATAAAGCCAGAAGACAACACGGTGGAGAATGAGGAAGCCTCCACCATTGAAGCTGCTTCCTTCGAGGACAAGCCAGAAAATCTTCCAGAGCTTGTGGAGAGCTCCTTACCCCCAGGCTCAGTCCCTGATGAAAGTGAGAATGCTCCGGAGTCTCAGCCAAGTGCTGACCAGGGGAGCACGGAATTGTGCGGCTCTCAGGAGGTAGATCAGCCCACAAGTGGGGCAGACACGGGCACTTCTGACACGTCAGGAGGAAGCCGAAGAGCCATCAGTGAGATGGAGTCCCTTGATCAGGGGTCTGAGCCTTCCCAGGTGTCCTCGGAAACAGAGCCCAGTGACCCTGCCAGGACAGAGAGCGTGAGCGAGGCCAGCACCAGGCCTGAGGGAGAGAGTGACCTGGACGGGGCCGACAGCTCCTGCAATGAGAGTGTTACCACGCAGCTGTCCTCGGTGGAGACACGGTGCTCATCTCTCGAGAGTGCGCGGTTTCCCGAAACCCCAGCCTTTTCTTCTCAGGAGGAGGAAGATGGAGCCTGCGCAGCAGAGCCCACCAGCAGTGGCCCTGCTGAAGGGTCACAGGGTTCCATATGCACTCCTGGTTCTTTACCTGTAGTGCAGGCGCCCAGTGGAGAGGAGGAAGGGCCGGGGGCAGAATCGGCTACTTCACCTGACCAGGAGGAGGTGGGGGAGGTCTGGCAGCGGAGGGGGAGCCTGGAGGGAGCTGCTGCTGCTACTGAGAGCCCGCCCCAAGAAGAGCGTGATGCGGGGCATGCCCAAGGGGCTTGTGAAGGGGCCACTGCCCAGGAGGAGGGCGCGACCGGAGGTAGGATGTAGAAGACAACGTGGCTCGTGGCTCAGGCATACCCGCTCAGAGAGAAGTCTTGTGGTTTTGTCCCTCAGTGGAAATTGTACTGCAGGGCACATATTAGCTGAATTCTTCTCCTTGGGGTTCAACAGCTTTTTTTTTCTTTTAACATCTTTATTGGGGTATAATTGCTTTACAATGGTGTGTTAGTTTCTGATGTATAACAAAGTGAATCAGCTATATGCATACATATATCCCCATATCTCCTCTCTCTTGAGTCTCCATCCCACCCTCCCTATGGATCTTCTTTTGGTGGAATAAGAGGCCTGTCAGATAACAGTCTTCAAACTTAGATAATGAACCTCAAGGCTCTGCATCAGTGCGGGCACCTGCTCTGCCTAGAAAGGTGGCCCGGTGGGTGGGGGCACTCCTGGTCCACACAGGCGTGGAGGCCTGGGATGCGTGCCGCGCGGCGGCACATTCAGTGCGCCTGGGGCTCAGTCCTCTTGTCTGGGCAGTGTGAAAAAGCATAATGAATCTCTGGCGGGACCTGGGTTTGTAGATACAAAACCAAACAGGCTGGCAGCATCTACGTTAGTGTTATCTGCGAGGTTTTCAGGAACATCTTAACTCGCTCCTTATTGCATGAAGCTTCAAAACAGAAGGTTAATATGTGGTTTGCATCAAATGTCATATTTTTGCCTTCTGCAGTATAAGAAATGTCAACTAAGTTAGGTGATGCATTCTGACACTTGAAAACAAGCTGTTTGAGTGAGGATGCAAATTTACACATAAAATTTGTTTTATGTCTCAATGAATGTGGCTCAGTAGAATGATCCCTTTAAACTGTTCTGTTATAGCTGCATCAAAAAGTCTGAGTATAATTTCATATGCCTAAATAGCATAGACTCAGAAATAGAAATGATTTTCTTATTCTGTAACTTATTTTTCTACCTATCCCCTTCTTTTCTTCCTCCACCGTTTTTTGTTTTTTTGGTTTTTTTCATTATCTTCCAGTCATTGTGTGACCCTAAAGCATTGCTACATGACTAGGACAGATGCCAGGGTGGGAAAAGGCAGGGGAGGGGGAGGAATGGGCCCAGACCGACATCTCCCTAGAAGACCCACTTCTGACTAAGCATCCACCTCCCATTCTCTTCTGTTGTTTCTGGGTCCTCATATGGGAAATGAGACGAAAAAGAGATAAGAGACTAGCCCCAGGATTTTTGTTAGGTGTTTTTTTTTCCCAAAGGCTGTTTTGACACTGAAGGGGAAAACAATACCCAGGTAACTGTTTACCTTTAATCCTAGGTTCTCAAGCCAACGGCCACCAGCCTTTGCGATCACTGCCTTCAGTGCGCCAGGATGTTAGCCGGTACCAGAGGGTGGACGAGGCTCTCCCACCAAGTGAGGACCTGCTAAACTAAAGGGCTCACCTCGATCAAAGGGTTCAAGGGTGACAGGACCCACGGGACCTAAAGGATGGATGCCCAGTCTCCCAGAAGTAGAGTTCTGGGAGCTGCCACGTGATTTAGCAGATACAGTCTGGAAAGTGCTTAGCAGAAGACTCCTCTCTGGCACAGTTCCACCAAATGAAAGGGTAGCTGGGGGAAAGTAGATACTCTAAAGTAAAAGAGATCCAGATGTTATGGACAATAGGATGTATAATAGAAAAAATTTTAAGTTTGCATAGGCAGTATGAATTTTCAATTAGACAAATAGGTACAGTCTCTTAGAAGAACCTTAGCTCTAGGTAATATACTGCTTTTTATTCATTTACAACATTTTAAATCATTAACTACAGGGTCCTGGTTTTTTTCCTTAGGAATATCCAGAGAAGTGTTATTAATTTCAGAAATTAGTCTACTATTTTCTGGACCATGATGATTATCTGGAGATTTGAAAGATATTTCTTTTTTTTTTTTTTTTTTTTTTTTTTTTTTTTTGCTTCCAAGAAACACATAGCACTTAAAGGAGAGAGATGGGTGAGCACTAGGAATGCTGGGAAAGTTATGCGACCTGAACTCCAGGAGCTGAGTGATGCCCATGGCCAGTCATAGTCTGAATGTAATTTAAACTCTATTTAAGTTTCTAGAATCCCTTAAAGCAGTATTACTCTGTGAGAGCAAAGCATTTTGAAGAACAGTGATAAAGCTCAGTAAATACTGTTTTTAAGAACACATTGGAAAATACATCTTTCTGCCTTGCTGCTTTTCCTTCTTGTTCACCTTCTCTATTCACCCATCTTATATGTAATCATGGCAAGAAGTGGGTGCTTTTGGCCCTCTGTGTTTTAAAAATGGTGGGACATAGAGCGGGGGCAGTATGCATTTAAAGGGCTAAAATGCTGAGTAGTTAGTTTTGGTGAGTGCTGACAAAAGAGCTGAATGGTGCTCTGTACAGTTTGTCAAAATATTGACTTAATCGTTTGTAAATACTGTTGTGCACAGATCCTCCCCTTGTTCATATATTTGGATAACTGAGGGTGGTTACTCATAGGAAACATATATTTTAAGCAGTTTTTAAAAATCATCCAAGAGATTAATTAACCATTGTGTCGTCTTAAGCAGGTGGAGGGGAAAACTTCCTTACTGTTTACCCTTGGAGAAAATATTAGAGGCAGAAAAGAAAAGTATTCCTGGGTGATATTTAGATATAATTGGAGAAAAATGAATTAGGAACACCAGGAGAGAATTCTGGGAGAGCTTTGTTTACATGAGTATGTGGATTAATAGTAAGTAATCAGAGTTTCAGGCACCTGTACAGGAGGCATAGCATTGCATCAGTGTATGGATAAATGGCATCCTCCTGGCCACATCCAATTGCTCTGAATTTTGTTGGATTCACAGTTTTGGTCTCTAGATTGTATTTAATAAAGACAGGTACTTTCCTGCTGAAATTATGACCACCATTTGTGCTGTTTCCATGCATTTGTTTAAACACTGGTATTTGCATTACACAGATATAATGCTAAATTTTAGGATTTAAAAAAATAAACAATTGGCAGTTCATTTTAATAAATTAATATATCCAAAAGGAAAAAAAGCACGTTAGTAGTATATCCAATTTAATGAGTAACTGATGAACAGCGGCGGGGGGAGGAATTCTTAAGAGTTGTTCCCTCTTGTGCAACTTGCAACTTGCAGCTTTGGGGATTTACATGATCATGGACCAATTACAGATTATGGTCTGAGCATACCTGATTACTGTTCAACTCTGTCCTCACACTGCTTTGCCCTCTCCTATTCCCAGTCGGTCTCATCTTTTGACAGTCTAATCACTTGGCTGCCTGTGCTAGTTGTACGTCCTGCCCGAACCAGTTCTCTGCCTTCCCTGCCTCACTGGGCAGCTCTGCTACTGTCTCTGGCCATGCCTCTTAACTCAGAGCTGTGGCATTCTGCATTCATATATTGTCTCTCAGGAGGCTCAGCTAAGGGGCATCCACTTGGAATATGCAGATTGGCCTGTCTCTTAAATGACCTGGCTGAATTATTTTAAGGTTAGGGATTATACTTTTAACATTATTTATTATAATACCTCAGACTTGTATAGTGGTTTACAGTTTACAAAGAATTTTTAGCTTTTTTAAAAAAATTCTTTTTAACAATTTTGTGAAGTGGGTCAAGCAGGTCTTATCCATAATTTATAGATTGATGGGTAGAAATCAAATAATCTGATTCTTTCACTTTATAGATGGAGAAATTGAAGCCCAGATAAATTAAGTAACTTGTTTAAGATTCCATACTAGTAAAAGTTGAGACAGAGTCTCAAACATTTTTTTCTACTCTATGATCTAAGATTAGAATGGTAGGGACTGTTGTGTAGGTAGATGAATGTAAGTTCTGAAAGCTTGGTTAGTGGCAGAGTGGTGACATATCTTGGTGTGTTATCTATTAGGCACAAGCATCACCTGAAATTAGAGGGTTTGGGGGCTTCTCTGAAACTGCATTATATTGTGTTTTGAGGGCAGACCTAGGAAGGCTGAAAAGACGCTCGGCTTTCTTCTTCCAGGTGAAGATCACTTAGCAGGACCCTTCTCTGGGAGGTCCCTCAGGTATAAGAAAAGTGGTGACAGTGACAGTACTAGCGACTGTCTTTTGGCCCAGATGGATTTGGTCCGTTAAGCATCTGTATTGGATTCAGACGTGCCTTTTCCTCTCTGTATAGGTCACTATCCACACACCTGCAGGACAGTCTACTGAAGCATGATCCGCCCCCCCAACTCTGGATTCTTTTTCTTTTTCCGTATTATTGTTGTTGTTATTTTAGCTTGTATTTGCCTTAAAAATACCCATGTACTAACATACAGTGAGGAAACTACCCAGTAAAGTTTGCTTCTCTCTGAAGATCTGCAAACTCAACTAAGGGGATTTAGAGGTATCCTTGCTATGCCTCTTCACTCTCATGGCTGATGGCGTGGTCGTCTGTGTGTCAGGGTTATAAGTTAGTCTCTGAACATCTGTTTGATCTCTTTTTATGTAAAGCAGGTTTCCTTGTTTGTTTGCTTCTTCTTCCAGCCTTATTCCTCCTATCTCAGGACCAGGGAACAGATGTTGGACAGAGACCACTCAGCTGTAATGATGATCGATCGATTGGTTCTCAAACTCTTACTCTTGCGTTAGGCCATGGACCCCCTGCGCTGTGACCTTGTGGGCTGTGTAACCTCAACCACTGGTTGAGAGACATTCTGATGAGCCGTACAAAATAAGAAAGCTCTGGTTCTTAAAGGTGGCATGGCACTATTGAGAGCCTTCCAGGGAGGCAGCTTGAACTTGAATATGTACTGAGTGCCTTAAGAACCTGCTGTATCTTATTCTGAGGTGATTCATAGGCTGGCAGCTGGAGGTTGTTCAGGGCTGAAGCCCACTAAAATGTCATCAGCATAATGAATCTTGGTCTTTTTAGCATTAGGATAAGTGGTGTGACTTAACCCATTGCTGTACTTGGCTCCAGTGTAATTGTGACTTATCCCATTGCTGTACTGGAGACAACAGGAAGCTGTTGAAAGGTGTTTTTCTCCCCAAAGGGTAGGAATAGGAATAGATTCCGGATGAACAGTCCACAGTGGACTCATAGGATCCCAGGCTTATTGCCATATTTTTAGGACTCGTGTATTACTTATGTGGTAGGTTCAAATGAGTAGCTCTGGAAAAACACGGGGATGTTTATCATTTTTTGTGGTTGTGCACTTTTGTTATTAAAGCATACTTTGAAATGAAGGTTTAAAAGAAGGTAATGAATCTGAAAAATACAATTAATCTTATAGAATTTCTACTCTGTTTAAAGCTAGGGGCTCTTATTCTCTAGAACCTAAAAGTTAGTTTGGAGAAAAAAATTCACACTTTTAATCTAAAAAGCTACTTCCTTAAAAATCGAATATTAAGGTCCAAACTATGCAGCTATTTGAGATTTTTTAAACTTTTTATTCAAATATAATGTACATGCAGAAAAGAGCACATTCAGCCTGCTGAATTCTCCCGAACTGTGCCCACCTGGGCAGTCAGCACCACATCTGTGGTCCCTGGGAGGCCACTTGTGCCCCGCTACCAGTCTCCAACCCCCACTCCTGAAGAGCAAGGGGACCTACTGTCCTGACTCCCCAGAGCACAGACAAGTTTAACTTACTTTCGTACTTTATACAAATGGTATCATCCTTCTTTGAGTGTTTAAATAAGGAAAAAATAATCCATTAAACACTGATTTCTGGCATCTATTACAAAGCTTTTTTTCCTTAAAAGTACCCTTAGTTTATTGTAACTTCATCATCTCACCATTTTGGTGAGGATACCACGGTTATTATAATTTTTACAGTGGGTTTATAAACTTACTTCACAATATTCAGGTACTTCATTTTCCTTAATCCAGTTACAACCAGGTCAGTTCCCTACTCTTAGTCCTCTCACCGCTTTGAGTTCCGTAGTAGACAGTTCGGTGCTGGCTTCCCCTGATATGTGATTCATCCTGTCTAGACACTGACCTTCTTCCCAGTCTCAGCACTCACTGAGATGTGCTCATCTAATCACCTGGGGGGCCCAGTGGAGACCAAGGTCTAGTTTGAGAGGAGCGAGACAGTAGAGTGATGAGATGAAGAGGGGCCATAGTGATGACCCCTGCCCCCTGCCTACATATATTGATTCTAAAAGTTGAAAATATCTAAGACCTGCCCGGCTCTACCTCCCTGCATCTGGAATTAATGCTGTGACAGTGGCTTGGCGTAGATTTTCATGCTAACTCTCTGACTTACCCTTAATGTCCAGCTATTTAAAGGGGGCTATTATATTTGAATCTCAGGGTGTCTTAAGTGTACACTTGCTCCTGGATTTCAGTTTGGGGTATTTAGGCTGAAATTTAGTTTCTTGCGAGCCCGCACTTCATGACTTCTAAGAAATCCAGCATTAGCTCCATGGGTTTGTCCAGTAAGTTAGCTGCTGTCTTAAGTTCTTGTTAATTTACGTCAGTGTTCCTTAAATTTTAGTGTGTCTAGGAATCACCTGGGAAGTTTGTTAAAAATGTAGATAACTGAGTCCTGGCTTCAGATAGTCTGATTTTGAAGAGCTGGGGTGTGTCCTTGGCATCTGCATTTTTATTGATCCTCACAATGATTCTGACACATACTGTCAGAATCCCACACCTTGAGAAACATTCTCTAGATAATAGTTTTCAAACTTTATTATTGCTGTGAAGCTCTTTATGGAAGTGAAATCTTATGTGGAAGACTAATATGCACAACAGATAATGTTGGAGCTGCAGTGTTTAAAGTGGGGTTGGCAGGTGGTTCAGCAGCCCTACTCCTCAGAACCCCAAAGCCCCTGGCCCCAAAGGCTTAATTAACTTAGAATCTATTTTGGAGATTCTGGCCTAGACATAAGATGTTGCTAGGTCCTTCCTGAACCTAATGTGATAAAATGGGTGTCATTGCAGATTCATGTTATTTTAGAACTGAAAGGGACCTTAGCAATGTTTACCTCTGTCTTCTAATTTTTTAGGTAAAGAAACTGTGGGCCATAGAGGTGTAGTAATTTGTTGAAGGTCATGTAGCAAAGGTATGACAAAGCCATGGCCAGATACAGGCCTTCTACTTGCTAATCTAGTGCATTACACACACACAAACGCATTACACACACCCCCAACACATTGCTGTCAGTCTCGCTGCACCCTGATTATGTACCCCAGTTTACAGTGTGGCAAGACAGGGAAGTAAATGCCAAGATCCTAGTCTTCTAACCCTGCCTGTGTGATTTTAGCATTGTCTGTGAAAGAAACTGATACCAGGCCATGTGTTCTCATATGCTTTCTTAACCAAGAACAAACCAGGCCTCATGTAAATACTTATAAGATATTAAAGCAACCATACCCCCACCCCCGCGAATAGATAATGATAGATAATGATAGAGGACTGACCTTCCTACAGGCACCTCTGCTGTCTTGCCTGGATGGAAGGGTATTGACCGCTTGGGTGAGAGTAGCTATGTAGTTCACGAATAAGCCAATAGCATAACAGTCTTTCCCAGTTCAATGTCGAGTGTCCACTTGAAACCAGCAATATGGCATTTCTCTTTATGGGGACTTAAGTAACAACCTCAATTTAAAGATATGATACTTGATAGGGAGAGTCTTAATGTGCATCCAACATCCCATATTCTTAGAAAGCAAATTTTTGGACCTTGTTTTCTTGTTTTTCCCATTGCATAGAAATGTCTTTATTGAGATGCAAATGAAGGTTATTCCTGGGCTTTGTGGAAAGTGAATACAAGATCATTTTTTAAAATTTTTATTGGAGTATAGTTGATTTACAATGTTGGGTTAGTTTTAGGTGTACAGCAAAGTGAATCAGTTATATATATACATATATCTACTCTTTTTAGATTCTTTTCCCATTACAGAGTATTGAGTAGGGTTCCCTGTGCTATACAGTAGGTCCTTATTAGTTATCTATTTTATATATAGTAGTGTGTTGATGTCAATCCCAATCTTCCAGTTTATCCCTCCCCCCGCCCCCCCCCCCCGGTAACCATAAGAAGAATCATTTTTTAATAGCTTTACGTTATTTAAATTATTTATTCATTCATTACATGCTATGTGCAAGGCACAGTGGTGAATATATTTGGAGATACCCCCTCCTCCATTTTCCTACCCATGTGGCCCGCATACAGGTCACATTTCTTGGGGTAAATTCTTGTATAGTTTATTCAAGGAAAAAGTTCCATCTTTGAAGATACTTTTCTAATATTCTTTTGTCAGAGAATGGAAAGTATGCAGCAGTGTGTTTTCTCTTCTGCTGTAACTGCCAGAAAACTTAGAGCCAAGTTGTAGTGACAACCTTATCTTGGGAGCTTGGCAGAAGCTCTCTCTCTGCTTCCTTTAGTTGGTTTCTGTTCTGTTTTTATCCCTAATTGACCTATCCTACATATTTTTAAAAAATTGGAAGCTTCTGTAAACATTCTTGGGGGGGAAGGAATAGTCATTTGTTTCCATGTGCATATGATCTGACATATAGTATGTGCTTGAATTATCCTGGCTCTAATGAGAGAGGAATGCAGTGGGAATACTTGTTCTCAGAATCTTTGAGATGGGAAAGTGTGCGAGGAGCAGAGCCAAACAATGGAATGGATCAAAGGTTTTAGAAGATGGTTCCTGAAAATGCCTTTATGTGCTTACTGTTTGTCAGCATATGGCAGGCTGAGCAGGAGGCCTTTTGGAAATGTCCTACTGATGGGATTGTAGCTGTGCCCAAATAATTCATTCTTGGCAGCCTGCTTCATTGTGAGTCCGCGTTACCTTGGAGCATGAGTGACACGGAGTTGTTTGTTGTCTGTGTGGTGCTTTTCCTCACAGAAAATTTTTCTTTCCCTTGCCATGTGTCATAAATTATGATCAGCTGAAATCAACAAAAAGATATCCTTCCACTCCCAGCTGAGGCAGTCTTCAGTGGTCTTCCGGTGCTGGCTGGGATCTACCGTGCAGGTTTTTGCAATCCTAAGGACTCAGTTGGAATACTTGTTCCATTCACCTCCAGAGTAGATGCCATGGCTGGTCAGGAGCAAACATGCTTTCGTCCTGGTCTCTAGGATGAGACCCACGGCGTCTGCTGATAAGCTGTGTGATCACATGGAGAGTTTTGAAATTAACAGAGCTGCTCAAGAGAAAGGTGCTTATTAATTTCAAAACATATTTGTCCTAGAAATAGCAATGTATAAAGCATTTTCCTGGTTAAAGAATAGATCTCTGCTGTTTTCGTATGTTCCTATATAAATTAATATAAATTACCCTTCCCCATTGCAATCAATTTAAAAATTGTTGCCTTTTGTAAAGATCAGCTCATGCTCTGCTTATTTTTATAGGGGAATGGCCTTTTAGAGAATTCACAGAGGTGGGATGGCTGGCCCTGAAGACTACTGTGCTTGCTGTTTTTATTGAACATGCTCTTACATATTTGTTTACAAAGACTAACACATTTAATGAGATTGCTTAAACATAAAAGTAAATAATCTTTTAAAACATTGTATTTATTTAAGGTTGGAGACAAGTCATTAACCTTGCTCTGAAAATGTATTCCTCTTTGGGAAAGTGTAAATGGAAGTCTGTAGATAATTATACTGTTTGATGACTAGGCTAGCACTACCTTCTTCCGAAGACTACATCTACTAAAATTGTGTGTAAATATACACGTAGAAATTTCCAGCTGTGAGTCTTTCATCTAGGTTGGAAAAAAAACAGAAGAAATCAAGTTTGGGTGAAAACATCAGTACCAATTTTGATGTGAATATCTAAAGTATTATGATACCAACTAGTAGTTTTTAAAGTTGCTCATACGTGAAGGATGAGCATTGTGGGCGGATCTGGGAGGATCCCCTACATTCAGGGATTCTTTAAGGTGTTGGTTATGCACACAGGAGCTGTTTTACTAACTGGTCAAACAGATTCTGGAGTGGACTGGGGGGAGTGCTGGATTATGCACCCAGGTATACGTTATTAGCCCCAAAGTGTAGCATGTCAGGGAGAAAACATGTGCTGCTTGATGAACCACGTTAATGGCTTCAGCTGCCCCTCCTAATCCCTCTCTGTGCACTGCTGCTGTTTAGACTGGGAGGCACGCATTGACAGCCATGGCAGGATCTTCTACGTGGATCACGTAAACAGAACCACGACTTGGCAGCGGCCCACAGCTCCCCCTGCCCCGCAGGTGCTGCAGAGGTCCAACTCCATACAGCAGATGGAGCAGCTGAACCGGCGGTGAGGATGGGCAGTTTTGTGGTTGGGCTAATTTTTACACAGTGCAAAATGGAAAACACGGTTGCCTCTTTCATCTCTGGGGGTCCTGTCATTAAGGTGGAGCTGTTGCTTCTCTCGATTCATAGACTTCATTGAATGTCTCTTGGTTAAAAATTAATAAGCGTACACATCCACAGCTTGCTTAGAAACTAGAGAGGAAATAAGTAATGAGATGACCCCTTTAGTCAACCCAAGGTATTGATTTTTAATAAAACAGAGCACATACACTTGTCATTTGAAGCCAGATAGCTTTTTAAATATCTAGAATCTTCGTTCGTAATGCATCTTTATTAGTTACCTAAGCTTTTAAAAATCTGTCCTTCTTTTCCCAAAACTAATTGCTATGGAACAAAAGTTGTTCTTTAACAATATAGGAATTCAGTTTCCTTTGGTTAAAGGCCACAATGTTTTTTTAAAGTTTTATTAATTTGTTAAGAAAATGTTCCACAGACTATGGACAGAAGAAATTAAATCCGATGGATTTACTTAACACACGGCCCAGAAGGTCACGGGATGGAGGTTTGAGGAGGAAATGGTCAAGGCTGGGAAGATGGTGAAAACTTCTGGGCTCTGGGGGAGCAGTTGAGCCCTGTGTTTTAGAGGCTGCTGTGTTGTAACTCCAGGCTTCTGATTTTAGATACCAGAGTATCCGCAGAACCATGACTAACGAGAGGCCTGAGGAAAACACCAATGCGATTGATGTGGCAGGGGAGGAAGCCGACTTTCACCAAGCCAGTGCAGGTAAGAGCCTTTGGGTTGGTTTGTTTTGTAATCTCGCAAAAATAGAAAACAAGTAAGTAAGGATTTCCAAGAAATGAAGCTTTCTTTAAAAGGACTTTTGATCTTCATGAAGACCAGGTAATTCAACTCAAAAAGTCCAATTCACCAGACACCTCTTCTAATCCTCGACTTTTTATTAGTACTAAGAAAAGAATCACAAAACCAAACAGGATATAAATTACTTTAATCTCTGGATCTGTGGGTTAGTAGAAAAAGATGGAATCTGATTACTTATAAAATCTAAGGATGCTTTAAAATGTTAATAGTGGGGACTTGCCTGTTGGCGCAGTGGTTAAGAATCCGCCAGCCAATGCAGGGGACACAGGTTCAAGCCCTGGTCCGGGAAGATCCCACATGCCACGGAGCAACTAAGCCCGTGCGCCATACCTACTGAGCCTGCACTCTAGAGCCCGCGAGCCACAACTACTGAATCCACGTGCCACAACTACTGAAGCCCGTGCACCTAGAGTTAGTGCTCCACAACAAGAGAAGCCACCGCAATGAGAAGCCTGTGCACTGCAACGAAGAGTAGCCCCCGCTCGCCACAACTAGAGAAAGCCCACAGCAACAAAAACCCAAAGCAGCCAAAAATAAATAAATTTATTTTAAAAAAAGTTAATAGTGACTAGAAATATTATTGAATTCCATTTTAACGTGATGGAGAGCAATTGGGTTTTACGCGTGATTTACAGAAAAGTAAAAAAGTGTTTGGGGGATTAAAATAATAACAAACGATATAGGTGTTGTTTTAAAATATAGACGGAAGTGAGTAGATGTTTCCAGCATGTGCAGAGACCTCCCTGAAAGCCTCTGTGGTCTGCCCCGTCTAGATTTCCGACGGGAGAACGTCCCGCCCCACTCTACCTCCAGATCCAGGCTCACGTTGCTGTTACAGTCTCCCCCCGTGAAGTTCCTCATCAGCCCAGAGTTCTTCACTGTGCTGCATTCTAACCCTGTGAGTATCAAATCCGAGAGGATGTGAGGGAAAGAGCACCAGGCCAAAGGAAATGATCCTCGTTTACGTCATAACAGTAAGAATGAAAATAGCTAAGTTTACCGAGCACCACATGTGTTCCATGCTCAGTGTTAAGCACTACCCATGGCTTAACCCATTTAGCCCAAACAAACCTATGAGTTAGATAAAACTTCTATTTTTCCAGATGAAGAAACTGAGGCATAGAGAGCTTAAATAACATGCTCAAGGTTATACAGCTACTAAGTGTGATAGCTGGGGTTAAAATCCCAGAGATGCTGACTCCAGAGTCTGTGCTCTTAATGGCCACCTTGTTTTGCATGCACAAGTATAACCAAATATCTGAGAATTGACAACAGGCGTTGGTCAGGTTGAGCTTTGAGTTATTGATACGGGCTCTCCAAAAGAAAGAATGAATATAAAATGTATACATTGCTGTAATCTGAAAAAATAAATCCATAAATAGAGGAATTTTTTTAAAGATACATGAGGTTTGTATGGGAGATCAGGATTTTTTTGGGGGGGGGGGCTAGTGGGAGGAGGGGTAATGGTGATGTGTTTAAGGATGAAGTACATTTAAATTTCCCTCCTTTTACTAATATGTCTATTCTTTAGAAGCCCTCCCTCTGAATTTTGCTAGAGGCCTAAAAATGTTAGCATCAGCTAAAAGAATCAACCTTTTGTTAACCGGAAGGTTATAAAAAACGTCAGCCTTTTAATCATTGTTTAAATAGAGAGAAATCATTTTGACTGTCTCCTTCACTTGTTTTCTTTCATTTCCCCCAGTCTTGACTTTTAACAAAAATTCTACCCCTTTCCTGATCTTGGTTCCTTAACCAAGAAACCCCTCGCTAGCTTCCAATCCCCACCCCATTAAGTCCTCATGACAATCAGTTTCTCCAGCTCTATTCATGTGCCCCTTTCCCACATTTATTTTGGAATTACCATCTGGAATGGGAGGTTTTAATTTTACTCAGGAAGTGTTAACCTCCTGGAGGCACCAGGGTATATGAAGTCCATGGGGTGACAGTGGAAAATGTTACATACCTGTTCTCTGGTCCTGAGCATGATATTTATCTCAGACATTTCTAGAAGGAAAGAGAAGTGTTCGAAAATATTATATAGTTTAAGCCAAAACTTGTGTTTTGGCGCACGCGTGCGTGTGTGTGTGTGAAGAAAAAAATTAGAGTGTGATAGGAAAGTTGGTTAGAAAGCATTTCTTTGTGATGTAAATCTTAAATTGTCTCACAGAATAAATAACAGACACTGGCTGGTTAAAAAAGAAAGGAGTAGGGGGGCCTTCTAGGTGGAGGGTATGCATGAGCAAAGACAGAAGTGAAAAACATGTCCTATATGCATAGTGAGTTATTTTAATCATCCAATAAATATTACTTAAAACACGGTTTATGCTAGAAATTATGGTAGGTGCTGCAGACACAGTGGGCAATAAGATCAAGTTCTTATCCTAGAATGGGCAGAGAATGAAGGCTACCTTAGAAAGATGGTTCTAGAATACCTCTCTGAAGAAATAATTTTTGAGTTGGAAGTTGAAAGATGAGAAATCATCAACCATGGGAAAAGCCAGGGGAAGCTCATTTCAAGCAGTTGAAACAGGAAGTGCAGGGGCCCCAGGGCTCAGAAGAGGGCAGAGGGGCTGCTGTGTAGTGATAGAAAAGGGGGTGGTGTGATACTACATTGGAAAGTCAGTGAGATCCAGATCATAGGTCTGCCTATGGGACATGGCCGGGGATTTAGATTCTATTCTGAGCAGCGGGAAGCCATCATGCTCTTAGAGTGTGACATGCTTGGATTTGGAGAGCGTAGAAAGGCAAGGGTGGAAGCCGGGTGATGAGAACGGAGGATCTTCACGGTCCAAGGGAAGGGCAGTGATGGCTGGAATACTGGTGTTGGCGTGGAGATGGAGAGAAGTGCACAGGCTCAAGGGCTATTTTGAAGGTAGAGTCAACATGACTTGGTGAAAAACTGGCTGTTAGGGATGGGAAAAAGAACAAACGAGAAACACCTGTAGGGCTTTGGTCTGACACAGGAGTTCATCTTGCTGGGTCAGCTAACGCGCAAGTAAACAGCTCGAAACTGGACTAGGTGTGGAGGCATCGAGAAGGAGCTTCGTGTTTCTGCAAGGTGCTGGGGGTAACAGGGCGAGTAAGGCGGGCCCTGTCCCGCAAGTCTCTGAGAGCTGAGGGAGCGGCTTCCTGGAGGTTTTAATTAGGGGAAGGTTGTCTTAGCTGCACCTGGAGTGCTTTAGAATGGGGGCCGGGGGAGACCCTGGCCACAGACATCCAGCTGTATATAACCCATTCGTCGTGGCTGGAGCTGATAAGAGCCTAGACTACGAGGTGAGGAAATAACGAGGAAGGATCCAGCATGAGAGAATCACAGGCAGAGAGTTGGCAGGCTTTGGTGGGTAAATAGAACAGAAACTGAAGAAGAGGACTCTTGAGAGGCTTGTTAAGGGAATGTAAGAACATTTTGAATTTAACCAGACAGATTATATGCCTCAGGAAAAATAGACTGTTGGGAAAAGTAGCAGTCAGCATAGTCCAATCACCAGGAGCTGTTGGCGAGGCTATTAGTATGCACATATTTATTGATCAGTTAACATACTGATCATTATCTCATGGTTTATAGGTTTATCTTGGAAGAGAGAGGACTTGGGAGAAGGCTGTTCTCAGATTTCATGCAAGAGGCATTCAGTGTAGCAACAGTTGTTTATTCCCTACTGTATACCAGGCACTAAGTCCTAGAGATACAAAACTGACAGCAATTGTGGGCTCTGGAGCCCCAGACTTGAAAACACATTCCAATGTAGTGAGCAGAGTTGTAAGTGAGGTGATGGAAGGTTGTAGAAGATATCCTGCTGGGGTGCGTGATTAACTCTGGGGAGAAGGCATATGGGAGGAGCCATGGCTGGGTTGGCGTTTGGGATAGGTTTTAAAGACTGAGTAGGTTTTAAAGACTGATAGGTTTTAAAGATTGAATAGGAACTTGCCCTAGATGGGCCAGAGCTCTCTAGGTAGAAGGAGCAGCATTTACAAAACAAGAGATCCAAGGAGCAGCATTTACAAAACAAGAGATCCATGAAGTTGCAGGGCTGTCTTAGTAATTACTATAGAAGTACTGAAACCGAATTACTAGTACAGCGGTTTGGTGTTGCTGGTGTGCGGAGACCATGGGACACTAGTGAAAGTCAGATCTGAGCCTGGAAAGGTAAGCAGAAGCCAGATTACAGGAACCTAAACTCGTGTATGCGACAATTCTAGGAGATCGTAGGCTTTCATACAATGGGATAACATTCAGAGTTGTCAGTCTAAAACAGAAAGTGTCATGCTGTGGTGGGAAAAGCTTTGGACTTGAGGTCAGGTAACATGAGTTTTCCTTTGTTCATTTGTTCATGCATTCATTCAACCAATAATTATTAAATGCCTATGATTTGCCTAGTACATTCGAGACTCTCAGGATACAGTGGAATAAAGATCAACTAGTGAACAAGAAAAGATAATGCAGACAGTAAAATGTGTCGTGAGGCAACTGAAACAGTACTGGTGACTGGGCTAGGGTGACTTGGGGCCAAGGTACTGCAGATGCTGGTTTAGATCAGGTGGATGGCAAGGCCTCTCCAAGGAGTCATATTCAAGCTGTTGTACAATATCAAGAAGCCAGAAAGGCAAAGGTCTTGGAGAAGAACTTTCCTTGCCAAGGAAGAGCAAAGGCTTGAGGACAGGAATGAGTTTGATGTGGTACATAGTACGGTCAGAGAGGTGAGCAGGGCTTCAAAATGTAGGGCTTGTGTGATCTGGCAAGGAGTTTGGGCTTCATTCTAAATGGGCTTTATTCTAAAAGGAGTTTCTGTGGGGGTGTAGTTTTGATTTTTTTAAAGTTTCTTCTACCTACTGTGTTCAGAATGGGTTTTAAAAGGCAAGATTGGCATCAGGGAAACAAGTGAAAAGGCGCTGTGGTGAGACATGGAAGGGACTTGGACTAGTGCCGCAGCAGTGGAGATGGTGACAGGTGGATGAATATGGCACATATCTTGGAGGGAGAGCTGACATTCTTCACACTCTTTTGTCAGTGAGGCCAGCACCTTCTTTGTTTAGCTAGATAATAGTGTTTGAATATTGGACTTATTTTTCTTCATTGTGTGTGTGTGCACGTGCATGCGCTATTTGCAATGTAATGGCACAATTTGAACTTTAATCTGTATTATTAGCATTTTATTTTCTTTACCAGTTTCTTAAGTCTAGAACTTACTATTTAGAAAAAGTCAGTAGGCTTTTTCTGGAAAGGGCCAGAGTGTAAATATTTTCAGCGTTTGGGCCAAGGACAACATGTAAATGAATGGATGTGGTTGTATTCCAATAAAACTTGGTTAGCAAACACAGCCAGTCAGCCCATGAGTCTATAGTTTACTCACTCTTAGTCTAGACAGCCCATAAAACAATATCAAGGCCTGATTTGCATTTACTGATTTCTTCAGTGTTAATATTCCCACTGTGGCCAATTTCAAGCTACCATCTTTTTACAGTGTGCGATTTGTGATTTCTTTTTGTTGAAGTATAATTGGTTTACAACATTACATTAGATTCAGGGGTACAGCATAGTGATTCAATATTTTTATAGATTATACTCCATTTCAAGTTATTACAAAATAATGGCTATTTCCCTGTGCTGTGTAATATATCCTTGTTGGTTATCTATTTTATACATAGTGGTTTATATCTCTTAATACCCTATTCCTATCTTGCCCCTCCCCCTCCCTTCTCCCCACTGGTAACCACTAGTTTGTTTTCTATATCTGTGAGTCTGTTTCTGTTTTGTTATATATACTTGGTTTGGTTTTTTTTTTGTTTTTTTTTTTTGCGGTACGCGGGCCTCTCACCGCCGTGGCCCCTCCTGCTGTGGAGCACAGGCTCCAGACGCGCAGGCCCAGCGGCCATGGCCCACAGTCCTAGCCGCTCTGCGGC